GCGTGCAGCGGGAACGCGGTGCCGAGCGCCAGCGCGCGCCGCATGTCGGCTTCCAGCAGGTCCAGGCAGCCGGAGAAGGCTACCCAGAGGCGCTCAAACTCGGCGCGCTCCTCGGCGCCCAGGCCCTTGTCCCGCAGCGCGGTCGTCAGCGGAGCACCAGTAGCCACCGCCAGCTCCTGAGCCTTCTGGCGCGTCTTCTGCAGCTCCTCACGAAGGTTCTGCGAGTCCGCCGAGCCGCCGACGGTCAGCACCAGGTGGTGGTAGCATGCGGTTGCCCTGTTGAGCGCGTCCAGCAGCGCCTTGCACTCCTCCCGCGCCATGGCGGTGCGCTCCGGCACAACCCGGCCGCCTGCGCCCCTCTCGGCCTCAGGCCTTCAGTGCGGCCGAACACGGCCAACCCCGACTGCGGCCCCGGGTCGGGCCGCTGGCATCCTCCTCATGGCCCAAGGCTAGCTCCACGCTGCAGTGCTGTCGACGGAGCCTGCTCGGGATTCTCGACGTGCACCTCTGAGGACCGGGCGCGGAGAGGGAGCTCCTTTAGCTGCCTCCCGTCCCCTCGTCCATCCTCCCAGATACGCTCCAAGTCACACACTGAGCCTCTGCGCCGCCCTGGCCTCCATGGTGGCCCCCTGGGTTGTGGTCTCCATCTTCCTCTAGTGCAGTCGCCAGGGCTAGCCCCGGAGCGGCACGCCCCGCCTTAGCAGCTGCCAAGGGCGGCCGGGTCGTGTTTCTTAGGATCCACCCACCCCGCCTGTCCGAGCCGGGCGCTTCCATCCCCAGGACGAGGGATAGGCGGGGCCCGGGGCACGGAGGTCACGTGTTGGCCCCCCATCTCCCCCTCCTCCTCACCCCATTGCAGTTCTGGAATATTCGCGCTTGGCAGATCTCTCTATTTTACGGAAGGGGAAACTGAGGCCTATGTTAAAAAAAAGGGGGGGATGGGTCACTCGACATCTATGCAAGTGAGGGGACTAGAACCTAGGGACCATGACTTCCAGCCCCCCCCCCCCC